TTAATGTTCTGGTGCTTTCACTTCCAGAGACAGTTGGAATCACCGTGTAACTGCCTCGAGGGTGCTTGACCATTTTAACACAACGTGGTGCGATCATCCCCCTTGCGCGGAGTGAGGGTTCTCCACCCCGCACAACATGATCTACTCGACCACCATTATGGTTACCGCAAAAAAAAAAACCGGAGGTAAAAAAAAAAAACGGTAACCTGGTTGCCGAGTTCACGAAGTGAATTGGCTTGTTTTACAACGTCGTTGCCAAGCGACGAAAACCCAATCCCGATGGCAAACACCGGGGGGCGTGCCGGGGGGGAGAGGGTCAGCACGGCTCTGGGAGCGGGAAAAACTCTCAAAAGACGATCTCATTTCAGTTGATCGTAAATACACTGCTGCGCAATTAGAAATCACGACGTGGCACGCACCCACATGAAAAATCTATAAAAAGCATCATGTCTTCCCTTTCCAGCCCTTGCATTACACTATTATAGGGGTATTGCTTTGACTCTTCCTACGGAGTTCTGCGCAGGAGGTATTAAAATTGAACCTACTACCCCGAGTAAGACGAATTTCCTTTCCACAGTACTCTGCCAAGGGAAATTGGGTCAATTCAATTAACTAAATTTGTGGGCACCACATGTCAGTATATAAGACTTGGGGCACCCGATCTCGTGTCGGGCAAACACCCTTTTCACAGTGGCGTCAGCGGCAGGATGTCATCCCTGCAAGGTGAAAGTCCCGGGTTCGAATCCGGGCACGTGAAAATGGGTTTTTGTCCGCCGCCAGCCGGTCGGGTTCCGGTTACCGTACATCAGGAAGGCACGGGGATTGCAATCCCATACACATTCTCCCTTCTTCCCCTCGCTCCTCGACAAGCTTTTGCTTAGACATGGGTTGTAGTGAAGGGGGGGGTCTTTCTGGCGAGCAGGGCTAGACTCACCCTCAAGGGATGACCGAAACCTTCTTGCTGCTGCGCATATCCGCCGCGAGGCATGCGCGTGGTGGTGTAGTTGGGTCGGCACTGATG